AAACAGTCTTTCAAAGGTGAATTTATGACCACAGACCTTATCTAGTGTTTTGTCCTTACGTGTACGACTGACAGCCAGCAACAGCCAAGCCGCGTCTGATTGGCTAAGGCATGGCTGGCTAAGCGCGGGCTGTCAGACCCGCGCCTATAGGCCGCCCTGCTTGACAGCTTATTATAAATAGCTGTCAAGCAGGGCGAGGTGCGGAAATTGCCTTCTACTATTCTGTGTTTACTCTCTGTTTGAATAAACTGTTAGAGTTACCTCAGAAGCCTCCTGCCTCGTTATTCCTCAGTCCACTTCACTGGCAACGAGGATGGGATCTTCAGGCCCTGACTAAACAGCCTAGAACAGAGAACAGAGAACAGCAGAAGGCAATTCCCGCACCTCGCCCTGCTTGATAGCTATTTATACTTCACATTCCTGAAACAAATGAATGAACAAATTGTTTCCTGCAAAAGCCCACTCCCCTTTTGCTCCCCTTTTACTTCCTATGCGAGGGGCCATTCACCATTCAACTGTGGCTTTACTCCCAAGTCGACCCTGATTTCTTAGCTGTTCTTTTCTTCTGGCAGCTCTGCGCATGCGCACACTGGAACAGGCTCCAGCTGTTCCTCTGCCTCACTGTTGTCTGGCTCCAAAGGCAGTTGAGAACTGCCAGACGGCCTTAGCCCCATCTCTGCCTCCGACACAGAGCCCTCGTCTGGGCTTTCCCCAGCCTCTAGGACTGACCCATGTTCCTCCCCAACCTCCTTACTGTCCGACTCTGCTGTCAGCTCTGCTGGCAGCTGGCAGGCCACAGGAGTTATGTGTAAAAGATGAGTTATATGTAAAAAAAGTCATAATAAAAATATTATAGTATATCATATGAAATAATATTCTTTTGACATAATTTTGGGAGGAGATAAGTTTTATCACTGAACAAAGAGTTAAATGCTGCCCAAAGTTAGAGTCACTTATTTATGGGACCAAAACTCAAGCTGAAAATAAGGAACTCATTTTCTACTCAAGTTTAGCAGCTAACCTAATAATTGCCCAACATTGGAAAACTTTAGATAACTCAGCAATTGAGGTGTGAATTAATATGATCTTTTCAACTGCCACATTAGAAAACATTATAAAGTTAAAATAATGAAACACCAAAGAAAGGGGCCACAATTCTATTAAATTTGGGCAGACTTTATATTTTACCTTAATTGTAACCAACCCACTTTTGACAATATCTTAGCTAGAGAATAAACACAAATGTTTATATTACTTGTGTCTCTATAAAATTGATTTTTTCAATTTTATGTACTTTTATTCTCTGTACAGCCTATATTTATGTCAGTTGACATTTGCTAACTACAGTTCATTCTAATGTGCCTTGAGGAAAGCATTATTTTCAAATTGAAACTCATTAACTGATTATTTTCTTGTTTGAATAAGCCATATAACCAATACCATAAGCAATTACTGTTCAAACCCATAAATATACAGATAATATCTAGTGACACGGACTTGGTATGAGAAAATTCACAAAAGGCTTGCTTTATCCTAGGATGTTTTAAAATACTGAAATAATATCCTTTGCCATGTAGCAAACCAAGTAGGATATAGAACGAAACAAAAATAGAGCATGGGCATTTTTAAATTCAGCTGCTTAATTGTAATAAAGGATGATGATTGTCTTATGTTCCCTTTTAAAGTGACACAGAAGATCACAATTATATTTCTTTTAACTGGTGCGAGGCTTTCTAATAATTCCTCTTTAGTATCTAAAGAATATCTTCTTTGGAAGCAACCCCAGAAAAAATCTCTTTAAGAAAATGTGCATGTGGTGCTCAAAACATCAAAATAAAAAGTGGTTTTAGATTTTTAACTTGCCTTTGTCTATAACATGGGGATAAAGATCCTGACCTCTCTGTGTTACTTTAAAATTAGAAATTATATATTTATCGCATGTTTAATACCATATCAATTTTTATTATATTTTCAAGATTACCGAAGAGATCAATAAGTTCTGAATAGTCTAAATCTAACGTTTCAAATGTTGGTAGATGTGGATCATTTTTACTTCTTCATTAGAAGCGAAACTCACTTTTGTCTATCAAAAACCAAACTACAGAATTGTGGACTACAATCCCCAAGATGCACTGGGATCTGTGGCATTGAGAAAGTGACCTTTGAAAAAGGAGAAGTAGGTAGTGCACAGTACTTTCCTGGCTGGAGCTGGAGAAGATAGAATCAGCTGGCGAGATTGAAAGGCATGCTCTGGACTCCAATGGCAGAATTTCCTAAGGATCTCTGCTGACTGAACTCCTCCTCCACTTCCCCGGGAGCTTTACGTCCTTCCCCTTCTGCTCAGATTTCATCCACAATCGGAGAAGCAGACTTTCACTGACGTTTTCTCTGTCGACAGCTTGTTCCTGTCAAAACTGTAAGTATCCTTTATATTCCTGAAATGAAAGTGTAAACAGGAAGAAATATATAGAATTTAGGCCTGTTGATAGTTGTCTTCAGTTTTGCAAATATTCTCAGCACTGTCCTAGCAACTGAAAGTTAGCTGTTGTGGCAGATGACAATGAAATGCAGCTTAACTGAATTTCATGCAAATCCATCTCTTATGAGATCTGAGCCATTTGCCAGAGTCTGAAAATTAAACAGGTTTGAGTTATTATTGATATAGATTTTTCTCGAAGGGTGATAGCTACGATAACAAATGGTGGAAGGAAAGTGAAGAGAGTTGGCATCAATACACATGTCCAAATTCTTTATTAATTTGAACTCACAGTATCATTTAGGAGGGAGAAATTGTACAAAAACGCAAAATAATTTATGTAAGAGAAATCTGCAATTTAGTTGTCTATGTTCAAATAATCTAAATTACCAAACAACTGACTGGTTTTCAGGATCCTTTTTCATTTCCAGACATATAATAATATTATTTTGAAATATTTATAGAATAACATTTAATTGGCACCTGCCCCCCTCTCCAAATTTAACTCAGTAACCAGCTTTGGTATAAAGTGCAAACTGAGGGTGAAAGAAGAATTTGCACCAGTTCATATTCTTAGGGATACATGGATGCCTGTTCGTGTTTAACAGAAAGAATTGAATTTCTTTCAGGTACAGAACCAAGAATGGTAGCAGAGTCTAATTGGGGACTCCAACTCAACTGGGGAAAAAATTCTGTAATTCAGGGAATTTTTTTTTTCAGCTACTATATCTGGGTCGCCAAAATTTAAACAAGTACTACCTGGTAGCAAAATTAGAATTATCTACATCGCCTTGCTACCATTTAGTGCTTGTCCAGTGTTTTGCTGGGCAAGTGCCCAGTGCTTTGCTGCCCTGATATGGTTGCCTTAATTCTTTCTCATTTGTGAACTCAAATGACATTTCAGAAGAAGTTCAACACCAGTTTAAATAGAACTCCAGATTTGGTCTTGTAAATGAATATTATTTCTGTTCTTCATATGGCAGTCTTTACTAGTCCATGGAACTAACTCCCTACAAAGCACTGTGTAGGAGCTATTTACCTGATACTCCAGTTCTATAAAGATGCCCTGGCATCAAGAATATAAATGGGTTAACTGTGAACCCTCAAAAGCAAATACACACTAGAAGTCAAGAGGGAAGCAAAAATCTGAACCATGAGGGTAGGAATGAAGTCCAGGCTAGCTCCTGGACTTCATTCCTTAGTAATTAGCAATTTCTAGATAAGGCACCAGTTGACCTTGAGAAAATGAAAAAGGAGCTTTACTAACGACAATGTTTTGAATTACAGAGGGCTAGAGATAAATAAGAACTATAACGATATCCAGGAAGAAGTCAACCCTGAAATTAAAATAGCTCCTCTGAAATGAAGGGAAATTAATTATAAATACATATACAAATTTGTGCAATGCCCAGCTTCCCTACTGATTTAAGATTGCCAGCTAGAATTGAAACCAATCCCAGAGACTCTCCACTTGATAAATATGTTCAACTGATATCCTTGTATATGTGTTTACAGATTTTTGTGTTTCTATGTTTGTATGTGTGTCAGTTTGCGTGTGTGATGTACAAAAAATGTGGTATTAAAATTAGTTGTAATAATAACTACTTAGGAAGAATTGCCAGTAAATTGGTATCTCTTTTACCAAATGAGATTTTTTACCAAATTATGGTCACCGTGTTTTCTTGGAAAAAATAAAGGAGAAACCTGAAAAGGGGGCAAATCTAAAAGAAGTTCATAAGGATTTAAAATTTATTTACTTCTCACATTTAAATGACAGCATTCTCACAAAAAGTGACTTTGAATGGCATACTACAACCAATAGCAATAGCAACATTATTGCTAAAAACAATCATTATAAAAATGACAACAAAGTCATCATTAGAATAAAAAAACTGTAAAAAATAAATTATACAAACCACACAGAGAAAGTAAAAGATCTGAAAGACAATTTTCTGAAATAAAGGATTGTCCCATTTATAATAAAGGATGTATAAATACTGTAGCGCATATCAACTACTGTCTCTTGGCCGTAGAAAACACACAAGGACATGCATATATATTTCCCTTTCCCAAACACAGCAACAAAGAAAAGAACAAACAGTTATAGAGAAGGTGTGAAGGAAAGAGGTAATTGGGAAAAAATGGAAGAACAAAAATGAATTTAAAAAGATGAGGTCAGGAAAAGAAGTAGCTGGACAGAAAAGGAGAGAAAAGGAATGAAAATCCGTTGAGGTATTATAAAAAGGATTAAATTTTCCTAGAAAACAGTTCTTAACAAATGCTAATCTTCAAAAGTATCCAAGCTTATTAACAATAATAGCTATAACAATCTTTACCTCATTTGGGAGGGGGAAAAGTTCTTCTTATCGGTTGGTTGAGTAGAGTACAGTATTAGGAAACAGATGCTTGCAATTGAGAAACAGCTCTGCCAAATTAGTCATGTGCTACACACAAGAGATGTTATCTGTGGTCCACAAATAGTTTTATTATTATACTGTAACTCCCTTCCATAGGCCATTCCGGCTAGAACTAATATGGATAAAACTCTAAAATAGGTCAGGAGAATCAGGTTGCTTAACGTTCCTACATAGGAATTCAAAAATATTTCAGAATATTTCAAAAATATTTCAATTAGACCCCAAACAAACACAGCACTCTCTGTTAAAGCTGGCACATTTTTTTTCAGGCTACTATGCTAGTCCCCACATATGAGTGCTTTAATTAATTTTCTTGAAGTAACGATGAACAATTCTACAAAAAGTGTCAATGCAATGTGCATCTGCTGTAAAAAGAGGCCAACAGCAAGTTAGGAATAATAAGAGATGGCATTGAAAGTAGAGGTGTCAATAATGTAATGATTACATTATAACATAATATAAATCTATGGTGTGACCATTGGTGGAAAATTGTGTGCAGTTCCGGTTGCTGCACCTCAAAAAAAAATATAGTGGAGCTAGAGAAGATTTAGAGGAGACCAATTAAGATGACCAAAAGACTGAAGCAATTTCCCTGTCTTTCAGGAAATGGCAGAAAGGTCCTGTGTTTCTTCTAAATCCAAAGCATTTCTTCCAAACTTTTGTTGCAGTATGTGTAACAATATTGTTTAGATCAATATCTTACAATACATCTGATCATCTAAACCAATCATGTTGACTATCTCACCAGAATTAATCACTTGGGTTTTTGAAAATGTGTTGGATTCAGGGACTTGCTTAGTTAAGTTTATAAAACGTTGCTAAGGGACTTTTCATCATTACTTTCTAATGGTCAGAAGGAGGAAAAAGGAAGGACATTTTATCTGAAAATCATTGGGCTGCTCATTTTGTTCCTGGATATTGTGCCAACCCTCTTATACTTGGAGCAGAAAGCATTAAAGAAGACATTAAAGAAGTTGTTGGTTATATTCATATAGCTTATTGAAATGCAAATTCAGGCAGACACATTTTAACCTGGAACATTATGCAAATATGGCTCTTACATTTAGTTTATAAACCTTATATTTACTTCAGTGTCTGATGTGAAATCAAGCAACTTTGGTTGGTTTGCTTGCAGAACTCCACTAGTTTCTAATAATGGCTGCGGATGTTTATAAGAAGAAGGATGTGCCGAATGGGTCCTTGGCACCAACTGATGGACAGCAGTTCGAGAGGTCAGAGAGTCCAACCCCAGGATTGACCCAGGGAACAGAACCAGGTGAGTCACAATAAACACATAATGCGCATTTTATGTGGAATAATGTTATTATTGCACACAACACACATATACAATCACGTTATTATTTTTGGGGGTGGGAGATAAATAGACCTATGCCAAGCTAAGAAAAGAAGTAAGAATTAATGAGCCAAAGAAATTAAGGAATGAGATAAAGAAAAGGTAATGTAAGTAAATCTAGTTGATGCTAAAACCATGCACTATACTTCAGCATACCTTTCTATTGTCACACACCATTGTTGTTTCTAACATGCCAATTCACTGCTTCATACATTGTCTTTGATTTTTTAAGATCTTCCTTTCTGATAATCTCATCAACTCCATTTAGCAACTTCTTTCTTAATCTTTTCTCTCCCGTTAATCGTTTCACTCTTTTTATATGATATATTCAGAGGGAGTATGGATATGCATTATAATCAGTTCTATTTTAGATGATAGTAAGACCTTCTTCCTCTTTTTCTGATTTTTAATGAATATTTTTTTTGGTGAGAGAAAAGAACTTCTATACAGTGGTAGTTTATTAAGAAGAACAGCTAGAAAGCAGCAATTATTATTGCCTATAAAATCCAGTCAAGTGACTTATTTTCCACATGAGAACCATTCCTAAATAAAAACCTGCTTAGAGAGCACCGTAACCAGAACAATGTGTAGAAATATTAAATGTAGCACATAATCACACTAAAATTAAAAATGCCAAAACAATAATTGTAATGCCTAGCAAAGTAATAGGTTTACCTGAGTCAACATTATAATAATAAAGATATCTGGTGAATTTCTCAGAGGATGGTTTTTTTTTTGTTTTTTTTTGCAAATTAGAAAAAAAAAGTCTTTGCTACCTGCTCTGCCTTACTGGAGAAGCTGCTTTAGATAGCCTGATTTCAAGCTGTTTAAGTTTAAACATTTTGTATTGGGCCCAAAAATAGGTAGACAGCCAATGCAGATGGCAACGTTATAAACATATGATTAGATCAACTCTAAAAAACCACTAAATTGCTACCCAAAATCCTAGTCTCAGGCTGATATGAAAAAGTGTGGTCACTTTCTTGGGGTTTATTAAGAATAATAATAGTAACATTTCCAAGCAGAAATATCAACAATTATGCAAAGGGGGGGAGGGGGGGACTGGACTGCAAAACAAACATAGCATCATGACATTGGGGGGGGGGGAATTACATGAGCAGATAATCCTGATTTCAGACTTTGAGAATAATTAATCCCAAACCATATATTTTCATAGAATGAAAACCACTGTTTCTGCTTAAAGGCCCATATTCCTATGAATCTATGACTCTATACTCTGAGATTCTTAACTTGATTTCAGATTATTATTGGGAACTTAATGCTTAGTTTTTCTTTGACTGCTTTAAAATACTTAATACATCCAGCCTTCTTTGACTAATATATTAAATGTACCTAAAGAATATGCATGCCCTACTTAAGGAAGAAAGACAGACAATGAATTTCAAGTTCCTGGATAAGAATTAAAAACTTTTGAACTCAGGTATTACAGTTATCACATTCAAATATGAAAATTAAAAGATTTTCCTGCTCTACATTGTTTTCAAAGGAAGAACACCCATTATGGTTTAAGGGTGGTATGAAATATTCATTAAAATATATGTAATCTTCTAACTTTTAATATTTAAATGTAACCCCTTGTTTTTCAGTTAACACAAAGCACAAAAATAGAAATTTTAGCATTTAGTTTAAAGAAAAGTCATGATTTCTTTACCATCTTATGTAGGGCGATGCATTGAGGAGGTTTGCAAGTCATTCCGCTTTGGAGGTTTGCAAGTCAGAAACCGCTTTGGTCGCATTGACCGATGATCTCTGGAGAGCCAGAGATGGAGGATTCTCCCCCATCCGGGTTCTCAT